ACCATCACAAATAAACCGGGAGTGATCTTCCCTAAACTTCCTCGAATATTCCTAAATAACACTACGGGGGATGGCAACTCGGGATATAGACAATATTTTTAATCCATTTTAAAATACTTAAATTTTTTAAAAATAGAATAGAATCTCGTAGAGAAAAAGAATTGCGGGAACAGGCAAATACATGACAACAGGCAAATACACTGGGAACATACAAATACACGGAACATTCAACTACACGGGAACATACAAATACGCGAGAACATGGAAATACACGGGAACATACAAATACACGGGAACATGCAACTACACGAGAACATACAAATACGCGAAAACATGCAAATACATGGCAACATACAAATACATGGCAACAGACAACTACACTAGGAACATGCAAATACGCCGGGAAAATGCGTATAGACTTGGAAACAAAGTACAAAGTACACAAACATCTAACACACTTGTATCTACGAGTACGTTAAACATGGAAGCCATCATTCTTTTTTCTCGCTGTGCCACTTAGCAACTACCCACAATCCTTCAACCCGATCCCACAATTCCCTCTTCCCATCCTTTCCGCTTTGCTTAAACTTCCATGCAATTTTTTTTTTTTGGTTTTTGCCTGACGAAACGGGTCTTCTTCTCCGTGGAAAACTTGAGAGATTTCAGCAAGTTGGTTTGGCCACAAAAACTCTCAGCAAATTTGGCCACAAAAAGAAATGCAGTGGGCGTGGCTGATTATTAAATTAACATAAAAAAACATGGCTGAAGTAAAAGGTTGGGGGGGGGGGGATTTAGCGCCTGCTGCTGTAATGAAATAATCGCTTTCATTGCTGACGTCACAAATTTGGTGTCTGCATTGACGACACTCTAAATATTATATTCTATTTTTTTATTTTTAGCGACCAACGCTATTATTATAATGTAAAGAAAACGTTTATTTTGGTGTGTTTTTAAGATCTTCTTACTATAAAATATTATACTTATCTTCTTCGACAACGAAATTCCCCATCCCCTCTCTTTAACGTCTATCCCCTCCCTCAAGCAGCATCACCCTCCCTCGTATATGCCACCCTAACGTATACTGTCATCTATGTGTGGTCGGATGGTAGAGGGCTCGACTGCTAACCCGAACATCTCGAGTTCGATTCTCGATCTGGACTTGAATCTGCTGGACGTTCCTAAGTCCACCCAGCTCTGATGGACATCTGACTCAAGTTAACGAAAGTTAAGGCGGCTGGGCATAGAGCTGACCACATCAATTCAAATACCAAGGTTATGAAACTGAACTCTACTTCATCTGTCCGATGGATCGTTAACTTAAGACGATAAAGGTTAACTTTCCTTTTGTACATTTTAAAAGTCTTCTACAGATCAATTCATCCAATGGCTGCTGATAAGTACAGTAAAATAGCGTACATCTACTACTACACAAGGCAATTGGTGAAGATTTTATATGGCTGACTGTGGAGTAGGTACATCCAGAGGCGTAGCGAGAGCGGGCGGGGGGGGGGGGGGTGCGGTGCGGACCGCACCGGGTGACACCATTTAGGGGGGGTGACACCAAGGCAAAAAATAGCAAAATATATAGAGAAAAACCTGAGGGGTTATGCAAATCGAAAGTTTGAGGGGGGGGGGGGGGGTGCAAATCGAAAGTTTGAAAGTTTGCCCCCGGGAAGGGTCGCTATGCCTCTGGGGGGTGACACCATTAAGTGCCGCACCGGGTGACACCCGACCTTGCTACGCCACTGGGTCCATCAGCCACCGCTGCATTTAAATTTAACCGTTTAGTAACTAATGTCAAATACTATTTATCTCACATCATTATTGAATTGTATTTTTTTCAAAGTGAATTCTGAACACTATAAGGCAATTTTGGGAATTGATGCGTGTGTTGAGATGTGTACACAAGTATATTTCCTTTAGCATTCAAGAAGTCAAACGCATTTTAAAATTTAGAACCTTAATCATAGACGAAACAAAGCACGATGTTTGTATCGTTCCTAAAACGTCATCAGTTTTGGTGTACAGCGTCATCACGTGTAGCCTGCTGCGCGATCATAAATATTTGATGGCACAGACACCCGCGTGTAAACAGACGCCAAAGGGAACTCCCCCCCCCCCCTCCCCACTTCTGTAGTTTGGTAGAGAATCGTATGCTAGTCATATTGCCTGGAGCGATGGTGCTGGTATATATCATCATAGAGGGAAGGGATGGGGGCGGGTCTAAGAGAAAGACTTAACAGGAACTAGAGAACATAATAAATTGAAACCTTGATTCACTCGGTACTACCTGCTTTCTAAAAGATGGTGGTTAATATAAAAAACGTAATGGAATCTGGGTGATACTCCATAGTTAGCCTACATCATTTGACAGAGAATAATTTTAAAATATAATGAGGTAGATAAGGCACTTCTCCAGAAAATTAAAAAGTAATATCACTAAAAAGCTCTGGAATGGAATCTAATGAGGAAGGTGAAGAATGGAAGGCTAAGAATGTCGTGGAAAATATATTTTTTTAGCGGATGGGGAGGGGGTTGAATCGGATAGAACAACACGATAGAATAAGATAAGATAAGAATAAGAATAGAAAGCAAATTCGTTTCGAAGTTTCTACTAGATCTTATCTAGATTTATAGAGAGTCAAAAAGAAGAATAAATCTCACATAAAATATATTTTTTTAAGGAAAAAAGGCTTTTATAATATCCACAAAACACACAAAAAACCACAAATGAAAGAATGCACTAAAAAGTAAAAAAATAAATGTAGTTTAGTGTTACCTTATTAAAGTTACATGATGATATGACTTAAACAAAAAGCTTGGGCGCTTAATCATGATAACTGAACATAGTTCTGAAATTATCTTATACAACGTAAAACTATAAATGGCTGGGAACGTAGTTTACATAAAAGGGCGCCTAGGCCGAATCAGAAAGTTTGCTACACCATCTCCATCAATACTAGCAGGCTTAATCGTAACTGTTTTGTGCGACCTCGGGCAGTTACGACAAGTTTTACCTTTATAGCAATGGATCAACAATATTATTAAACGAGTGCAGTCTGGTTTGAATTGCGTGAAACATTGATGACAATAGCCGATCCCAACACACACGTCGAATCAATTTAGTCAAAACTTAAAACTCATCACCTCACTACAAATGTACATTACCTTATTAGATGTATACATTATTAGATTCGAGAATTTCACCACAATATTCTTACACCTCTAAACTTACCTCACCCCCTCACCCCAAATTTCTCTCGCCGCCACCCCCCCCCCCCCCTTTTTTGTTTTCCCTTTGGGATCCCCCTTCTTATTCTTCATGTACCCCCCCCCCCATCCCGACAAGGTGTTTATTATCCATCATAGTCCTCTCCCCTTCGGGATTCCCCCTCTCCTATTTCTGGTGTAAACAAAAGCTCATCTCTTGTTTTGGAAGCCTTCAGAGAATTCCCCGGAGTACCTCAGTGTTGGATGCTCAACGTCTACCTTGACCTTGGCTGCACGCATAGTTACCGCTCTTTGTTTCTTGCTCCGGGACAGTAAAAGAGTAGTTATTTAAAATTAGTAACCGGAAAACACCACACGTTAATTTTTTTTTATAATCCCTATATATTATTATAACAGCATTTAACAGTATTCTCCCTTTTCACTCACATTGTTTCTTTCAGACTTTTTTCTCCGGGGGGAGGGGAACTGGAAACTTTCGTGGCGGGGGACTAAATTTTCCGAGGGAGGGGCAAACACTGGTAAAAGTATATATTTTCTATATGAATTCTTTTTCGGTCGGAGGGGGGGGGTTAGGTGTTATTTAGAGGTTGGGGGTGATAGAAGAGATGCCTGAAAGAAACACTGGTTACTCATTTGTAGATGCTATACTCATCTTATGAACTGGTTTACACAAAAAGTAACAGATCCTGGTACACCGTCGGTACCTAAAAGATAAAAACAACTTTTAAAGTAACCAATTGTACCCGTTAACTGAAACAGGTTTTAGAGTAATTTTTCAGAACGCGGTGTACTTACAAAAATGTAGATCATGTCCAATGGTTATTTCTACACACACGTTTTTTTTTCCGTGCCTTGAAATAGACACCAGATGGTGGTAAATCTTCGACTTAACAACAAACAACCCCAGGTAGATGTGTTTTCCCGGCACCCCGCGGGGCTGTTTGTTACCTGTTTGTTATAATAGCATGTACCTCCCGTCCCCCAGCTCCACCCCCACCCTAACGCACATATGGATGTCGGTATGTATCATAACAGGTCCGTGGGAAATGGAAATATTGATCAATCTATGGGGATCACGTTGATGTGTATAGATCACGCTAAACCATCTAGATCACGTCAAACTATCTAGATCACGTCGACACATCTACATCACGTCAAACTATCTATATCACGTCAAATTATCTAGATCACGTCAAACTATCTAGATCACGTCGACCCATCTACATCACGCCAATCTATTTAGATAACCTCAGTTAGAAAGGGCTGGTCGTATAAATAAGTTTGTATGTAGACTTCTTTAATCGCTGAGTGATTTCCGGTAACCGGAATAGTACTAGTTATTCTCTTACTAAATCTCTGTTAGTGTTACTGGTTTTCAGCTACAATATTTTATAAATATTTTTAAAAATTTTCTAGTTGCGAATTTTCAATAAGGATAATATTCAGTTGAAAATTTAATTTCGACTACAAAAAATCGATTTTAAGATTTTTTAAATTATAGGTACAAGATTTGGTAAATGACTTTATATAAATTGTAACCGAACATGTACAGGGTACTTATTATGCTTTTAATTTCAGCTTGCATTACATGACGTATTGTGCGGTATTTTTATGTTGCCCTTTGTTTTACTAGCCAGCTGTTGCGCTATCGTTAACGTGATAAAAGAATTTACTAATTTACCAGATAGGTGACATCCACTTATAAATGGCATTACGACTCACACAGATACACATTATAAATTCACAATTTTTATAATTTATGTGTTTATTATAAAACAAAAGCTATTACATTTTTAATAATTTAAATACCTTTAGATTGATTCTTATTAAACAAAGTCAAATAATTTTAAAATATTTAAGACAACAAGGTAATTTATTTTAAATAGAGCGAAAAGTAGCCATGTTTAAAATTCACTTGTTTCTTTTCTTTTCTTTTTTTCCTTTGGTTGAAAATCGGGAAGGTTTGAAGAAATCTGAGTTGTAAAGTTTAAATGCATGCATTAATATCCAACACAATAATAATGTAATTCATATATCTAATCGTTTTTCAACAATGACAGAAGTAAAAAATACATAAAGAACGTTTTAATAACACGCTTTTATTTAATAATGCACTTAAATGTAGAAAATAAATGATTTTTAAAAAAAATGTAATAATACACTACTAAATAACTATAAAAGAAAGCGTGTGTCACTTTATTGGATGCCTTTACTTATATTTAGGAGACCCATTAGAATGCAACTGTAATTATAATACATTCAAAGTCTGCATATGCACGACATTACGTCAACAAATTTACGTCAAACGTGGAACAGAAATAATTGTGCTAGACTTACAGCAATTTTTTTCATCGCTGTTGTCCCCACAATCGTTTATAGCGTCGCATCTAAAACTTTGGTGAACACACGCCCTGTTCCTACACACAAACACGTTGGGCCTGGAACAATCTGGGGCTGGAAACATCATTGACTTTGGTTTAACAATACAATATGCAAATACGAAATTTCAAAACATGTCCTTTGTGTTATGTTTGTTTATTATCATACGATTACTTAAAAAGAAAACATGGATTTAACACGTGGAAATACGACTGTTTGTTTTACTTTTTTTTAAATTTAAGTTAACGATATAATTAGGCTATACATTTGTTTTTTCATTAATTAATTACCGGTTACCTGTCAGCAATTTATATTTGTCGTAGTCTGAAAAAAATAAAATAATAAAAAATCAAATTCTAAACTAACGCTAATTCGTTTAAAACATATTTTTCATTTGTGTCATTATTCAATGGATAAAGCTCAGAAATTCTACATCGCAGTCTCTGATATACATAAATTAGCCATTTATTATGATAAATGATACATTTACTGAAATTGTATTCTTCTTTAAGAAAATGTAATCTAATGAAATGAAATTACAATCTTTTTTTTTACACGTATTTAAACTCATAATAATATTTAAATTAAAATAAACAAATGTTAACTTGTATGAATATTGTAACACATTTGAGCATCAATAAACATGATATTGAACTACAAAATTCTTAGTCATGCGGTTACCACATTTAAGGCCTACACTTCTTAACTCCCTTTCTTGATCCTCCACCAAGGTTAACTGATTGTGGACGGACATCGGACAGCCCTGGAGGCGGCATTGTAGATATTCTCGGACCCGTCTGGAACAATCAAATTCACGCAGTAAACAGAATGGAGAGTATCTTATTTTTTTTAAAAGCGTATTTATACCGTATAGATTCCTTGTCAGTCGACCAATCTCTGATGAGCAAGTGACTCAAGTTTGGGAAAGTGGAAGCGGCTGGACATTAAAAAATTGACCAAACAATATACGGCCTATACAAATAATTGAAAAATTGTTTGAAATCTTCATGCAATTAGGCCAGACGACCTTCCTCAAGTGTGGCGAAAATGAACTGATACTGAATGATGGATTTTTTTTCTATATTTCAGTCGAGTAATCGAACCAATCAAAACTCTAATTTTAAAATAGTCAAGATATTGGTAACTACTATTGCATGTACACATTGATGTAATGTGTTAATTAAAATAACAACCATCTAGAGAACGTGTGAAGTTACCTGCATTTAGACTTGGGCCCATCTTCAGACTGCTTGTGATATTCATTTAGGCATTCATCTTCGGTTAGCTTACATTCTGTGAGTGAAAAAAAAACCATTTTAACAAACAACAATAAAATACATAGTGTAGAAAATGCATTAAAAAACGTTTTAATAACAAGTTTTTTATCAAATTGCATTGTCATCTGGTCTTAACCCACCTTATAAGATTCAGAGAAATTGGTCGGTTAAAAGTGGTCGAAATTACGGTTTTCGGGAAGGTAAAGTAGAGCTCACTTGTTTGAGTGACCCCGGGATAGGAAAAGGATAGTGTGGCCATCACTATACCCATTTACTTTCTCCAACGTGAGTCAGGTACCCATTAGAGATGAGTAGACTCAATGAGAGCCCGGTATCAAAGCTTTTGGATAAGCGGTTGAACGCTCTACCTTCGACCACACCGTTACTTTACATGGTGTACATTGGTTACAATTAAAGAAACATATTGTTTTCTTTAGTTAAAAACTTTTCTTCTCTACAAGGTATAGCTCATAGTTATGATCAAAATGCCTGATCAATAACTCGTTCAATTATACAATAAACCGGGAGTGATCTCCCCTAAACTTTCTCGAATATTCTTATATAAAATAACAGGGGATGGGAACTCGGGCTATAGACATGATTTTTAATCCATTTTAAATACTTAAAGTTTTAAAAATAGAATAAAATCTCGTAGACAAATTAATTGCACACCAAGTGAACGCGAAATAAAAAAGCGCATAATACTGCGCAATATTATTAGTACTTTTAAAATTTACATTAGTTTTTTGAGAAATCGGAAGTAGCGTAAATTACTACTTCCAGTCAACGGAAATTACTCAAAATTTAACAGAAGGTAGAGAATTAGATCTTTTACTTACATGTGAAATTTCATTTATCTATCTGAAATAGTACTCAAGTTATAGGCTTTTAAAAAAATCAAAGTAGGAAAAGTACCACTTCCGGTTATCGGAAATCGCTCAAAAGTTGATACGGATCTACGATTTTGATAAAATACTTATATATGAAATTTCATCAACCTAGCTGTAACGGTACTCAAGTTATCGTGTTTACACACGGACAGACACACACACGGACAGACACACACACACACAGACATACGGACAAGATTGCAAAATTATGTTTTTCCGTATCAGTGAGGTGTAAAACGTCGAGATTTGTAAAAATCTCGATTTTTTTTTTTTGCACGATTACAATACTTTCTCTATACTACGTATATACGAGAAAGTAAAAAAGAGACGTAAAGAGAAAGACTATAATTTTTTTTTAAAAAAACACATTCAAAAGATATCTCTCAAAATTAAGATATTTACCCGATTTATAATGGTCAAAATGAAAATCTGGAAAAAAAACAATCAACCGTTATAAAATGTGTATCAGCATTTTTTTTCCTGCTAAGTCATTAGAACTAAGAGTGTAAATTCTAGAATGACTGCCGCAAGAGTTTAAGTTGTACGTCATTAGAACTAAGAGTATAAACTCTGGAATGGCTGCCGCAAGAGTTAAAGTTGTACGTCCTTACCGCAGTGGACATTCTTGGCTGTGAGCAAGGTCTTTAAACTTTTCATCTCAAGGTCAAGTTCACTTTTGTTCAGGTGACAGTTTTTGTTGATACACATGAGGAACACTGTAACCAGTCTGGGGGGGGGGGGGGGGGAAGCAAACATTGAATTTCAAGTGTAAATTTTCGTTAGCTACTTCTTAACCGAGGCTAAATTTTCGTTAGCCACTGCTTAACCGAGGCTAAATTTTCGTTAGCTACTACTTAACCTAGGCTAAATTTTCGTTAGTTCTGCTTAACCGAGGCTAAATTTTCGTTTACCACTACTTAACCTGGGCTAAATTTTCGTTAGCCTCTACTTAACCGAGGCTAAATTTACGTTAGCCTCTACTAAACCAGGCTATTTGATAGGCTTTTGGCCAGGTTATTTATAGTACAATTTAATTTACGAACTAACAATCAAACTGGCAAGGTATGTATCACTGTTTTCAGTAACTGCTACATAGGGGTATTCTATCCCCAACACAACACACCTAGATGTGGAAGATATGACAGTTAGATGTGTGGGTATGGGAGGGTTTGTGGTAGAATATGTAAAATATATATTGGATTTTACAAAAAAAAAGTACTGAATACGTGTTCATTATATAAACAGTTTCAGTAATTCTAAATAGCGGGGTGTGGGGCTTTGTGAATTTTTATTTCAGACTTGACTTATGATTTTGAACGAGTCATATATAACGATATGAAAAAGATTTCATATAAAAAGATTACAGGAAAAAGAATCTCTGTACTTCGTCATCTCTATAAAACGTCAGGTCTGTGATTAAACTTCCATTTAATTAAAAAAGAAAAGAAAAAAAGAAGAAAAAACAGGCCAACCTACTAACGCAGTAAAACATGAATAATGAAAACCAAACAGTCTTTTATTAGATTCCAAGCCAAAGTAAAAATATAACCAAAAAAAAAAGAATTGTACGGTAATTTTGAGTCTTACAGACAAACATCCTCCTGATTATTAACGTCAATCTCAAACTCTCTCTGGTCAAAATCATTTAGACATCGTGGGTAGTTGCAGCCTTAATTTAAAAAAAAAAACTACATTGTCAAAACGATGTATAAAATACCATATTAACTATATTTTAAATGAAAAATATAAAGCAAATACGCAAGCTTTCAAACTACTACACATCTTCTAAAACAGTGTTCCTTTCATAAATTTTTCTCTGGGGGGTGGAAGCAACTGAAACTAGAGGGGGTTGGACACTGGTATAAATATTGTTATATTTTTTCATTCGATTTCGTTCATTGCTATGTAATTTTACGTGGACTTGCTTCGAGGGGCTATGACCCCCCCCCCCCCCCTCTCCCCACCCACCCCCGAAGAGATGCCTTAAAAGAAACTGTCAAAAATATTCATATGCATTGAAATCACTATAGTGTGATATATTTTTTTTTTTTTTTAAATCTAGATCTATAACACTCTGTATTTGTTTTGTTATTCTTGTCACACTATCCCTTACATCAGCTATATTAAAATTTACCTAAGTTCGTTTGTAGTAGCTGCCTGGCCAACACGTAGACAGAAGTGCCTTCGTACCTGTACAGGTAGTAGACGACACCTAAGGTAAACCATATCGTGAGGTACACATACCAGTTCATGCTGAATACCTTGTGACCTGTCAGGAACAACACACGACACGTTAGCACACCACCATGAGACACACTACTATGAGACACACCACCATGAGACACACTGACGTGTATCACACTATCGTGAGGTACATATCATATCTACAACAATATTTCCCGTTTGTAGATTACGACTGTGTAAATTCAGGGAAATACATTTCACAAAATGGCGCTGTTTGTTTGATTAAGTTCAAGAAAAATAGGTCAACTAATTATAGCCTCAGTCACACTTGGGTGTAATGCAATAAATACATTTCCTGGTTAAAAACTGGAGCAATGTCATAGCACTGTAATATTGATTATGTGAAAAGTAAGTTTATCACATTAATTAACAAGTTACACTGTTATATATTATCACTAGCCAGCGACATTTATTAAATTAGCTAAGTGAGAAAGAAAGCAATATCTCGTTATTAATGAATTAAAATATTCAGTTTTCGCTCAAAATTTTTGTTTTAAATTAGAAATAGAGCAAATATTATTATTGGTTTAATTATAACACACCTTACGTACAGAGTAAGAATTTACGCAAATGTTTTTCGAAAACCTAATCGAAGCTAGGCAATATGCCCAATAGTCTATATAATACGTAAAAATTAAGTTCGCATCCAGTTTTTAAATATTTAAACGGTCCCCTCACTAGTGATAGATGGTGTTTCATTTGTTTAACTGTGTTATTTCATAAGAAAGTTTGAAAGTTATGATTGTATATTGATGGGACAAAAAATCCGCATTAAACCGTACCTTTATAAGAACTCCTTGTGTGTTTGTATGTTCACAGTTTGTTTTATTATTGCCGAACATCACTTGTAATAAATCCCATCCAATCAGGAAAACGTGAAAAAAACTGTAACAAAATCAGTAATCACAAATATTTCTTTGGTACCTTCGCATAGTAAACAAAATGTCCTAGAAAAACCGAAGAGTTGACTACTCTCTAGAGAGACCTAACAATTGACTACTGTCCACAAAGACCTTACAATTGACTACTGTCCACAAAGACCTTACAATTGACTACTGTCCACAAAGACCTTACAATTGACTACTGTCCACAAAGACCTTACAATTGACTACTGTCCACAAAGACCTTACAATTGACTACTGTCCACAAAGACCTAACAATTGACTACTGTCCATAAAGGCCTCCACAAAGACCTAACAATTGACTACTGTCCACAAAGACCTAACAATTGACTACTGTCCACAAAGACCTAAGAATTGACTACTGTCCACAAAGACCTTAGAATTGACTACTGTCCACAAAGACCTAAGAATTGACTACTGTCCACAAAGACCTTACAATTGACTACTGTCAACAAAGACCTCCACAAAGACCTAACAATTGACCACCATCCACAAAGACCTAAAAAAATGACCTCACTGAACAACGACTCACTGCAACCATCTGTTGTTGCATCGTCTAGCGCTGCAGCGTCCGACAGATGGGACACTATTTAACACACAACTTACACGCTGATTAACCTAAGTGTGTTAATACAGCACACAATGAGCATGATTGTAGAGGACAGATGTGGGGGTGTGGGAGGGGGGGGGGGGCATGGGGCAACATACATTGAAATAAATCTTTAAACGCTTAAAGGTTATGTTCTTATAAACTATCAATACCTGAGGCAAACATTAATTAAATTATATAGACACACATGCACAAACACACACACACACACATATATATATATATATATATATATATATATATATATATATATATATATATATATATATATATATATATATATATATATATATATATATATCCACTGTCCTGCTTTTTCCTCGAGTTCGGTCCCCCTGCTTGAAACCGTAAGTCATCCCTGAGCACACTTAGCTTTAAAATTATGTAAGGGAAATTAAAGGGGGCTGGGCATAGTGCTGACCACACTATCCCTTCCTATGCCGAGGTCACAGTAACAACAGGTGAATTCAACTTCGTGAACCTGATAGACCGCTAGCTTTGAAAGGGTAACTTTACTTAATCACCCCCCTTACACGAAGGCGAAAAAAAAACAGGTCCTTGCAAAGACGTCATGAAATCTCCATGCACATTTTCTAAAATATTTCTGAAAAAACTTATTTGTCATGTTGTTGTGTTTTTAAGTACAAAGTGTAAACTACTTCATATTTCTTACCCCCCCCCCCCCCCCCCCCGTAACTAAACTAATTGTGATACTAATCTGAAATACACCCCCTCACCTCCGCCCTAGGTGTTTGACGCCATTTTAGGACGCCCCCCCCCCCCCCACTTCCACTTAATGCAAGTGTACGAGCAGGTATAAATTACTAATTAGACAAATCCTCCCCACATGGAACACACCACGGCTAGCTCTGGCATCGCTAGCCTGGCTTGTCAAGGGGCCACAACTTACGGGTGGCATTTTTTTTTTTAAAAGGGGAAGACCACGCCCACCACCATGTGCCCGGGCAGCTGACAAGAGAGGCAAGCGGTCCCACCTGTGATTTTCTCGTGTTCGTCTGCGCACCGACAGCCTCCTGACAAACACGACGTCAACACGCGGGGGGCTGCGTCTGCTCACCCTGGCACGTGAGACTTTTTTTTCGGCTTTCCGCGCATGCGTAAAGATGAACACGGGTTCGTTGTAGTCGATGTAACAGTATCTGATAACTCTTGTCTGGACCGGATAGTGAATTACTTCCCTTATTTGTTGGTGACTTACTAGCAGTGTTTCTTCCAGACTTTTTTCTCCGGGGGGGGGGGGGGGCGGTAGACTTTCTTCGGGGGGCGGACACTGTTAAAATTATATATTGTCTGTATAAATTATATAAATTTCATTTCGTTCGGGGGGGGGGGGGGGGGGGGGGGGGGAGGGCGGGGGGCGGTAAAAAAAAATTTCGTGGTTTCTACTATAGCTGGGCTCTAGTCTATAGGACCTCCCTGGGTCCATTCAACTCTGATGTATACTCACGTTAGGGAAACAAAGGCGGCTGGACACAGAGCTGACCATATTACCCTCCTGTATGTGATAGGGTCATTGTTGAACTTCATCAGCTGAATGTGTCTTGGACACCAATGGTAAAAAATGATGAACCACAACGTAAATACAAAACAATACGCTAAACACATCATTTCATTTAATATTCATGCACACTTCAACAATAATTTCTACCCAACAAATTTTGTACACGTATAGTTTGCCCTAAAATATGCATTTACTTTTCCCATCTGGATATAGCTTGTCTTTTTCCCTTCTTTTTTTAACCTTTGATGTGATCTATTCACATTTTTGGGTATTCCCAAAGGTATTTTCGTTTTCTCTGTAACTCTACCCATACAGACTGAAAATAGGAGTTGAGAGGCTATTTAGTGTAGGGAGGGGAGGGTTAACTCTACTGGAACTAGAGAACAAAGGAAATGAAAACCTTGATTTTATTGCTAATTGTTTCATGTCCTGATTCCTGTGGCTGATATTACCCCTGCTAACTTTATTAACATCACGGGAAAAATTGCTGCGCATGCCCATTTTACACTTGTAAATTTAGGTCGGAAGTTTATCTACCATCCCCCTCCCCACATGTACGAGGTGTATTCGAACACGGATGCTCCACTATAATAAACTGTTTCTCATATTTTATGTATTTACCCTCGCGTTTTATTTGTATCTTATTTCCATAATTACCCTCTCCCACCCCCGAATTTCGTATATTCTCAGCAAGTTTTATGGCGACCATCTGCCGTTAGATCAGACAGCTGACGTCACCGCTGATGGATGACGTCAGCGGGGAAAACTGGAGTTACCATTAAGAGAAGGCGAGAATCAAAATACGCGCAGTTCTGGAATAATGTATCGTATTTTAATTGCAACGAACTACCATGTATTGTTTTTTTTAGGGAAACGACATTTTTTGTTTACCCCCCCCCCCCCTCCTACACCTCTTGAATGACGATAGCAGACGATAGACCAAGTCACGTGACTAGCAATCCATCTCCAAAAACAAAACGTGTTTACGTTTCCTGTCATAGGCCTAACAATCAACAGAGACAGAGGAAATAAATAAAGACGATAGCGAGCCGCTCTTAACAATGTTATAAATTGGAAAACTTGAGTTAGAGATTACAGGCCTGTCTCTTTGTTGAGTCCTGTCTTAGCTTGATATATTTGGCTGTAGTGGGGGGGGGGGGCGAGAGGTAATATGAACTGTGTTGTTGCACTATAGGTAATTAAAACAAGAGAAAGTACATTCTGTGAAGTACACTTACATGATTAAAAAAAAAGGACCAATAGAGTACAAGGTAAAAAAGCTTAAATTATTGAAATCACGTCATTCAATAATTCGTTTTTAACAAGAATAGGTTTCTGGGAGAAAAACAACTTGTTGAAGTGACGACATTAGAGTAATTTGTTTTTTAACAAGCCAGCTTCAACTTTTCAATTACCTGTGAATTAGTGGGGTTTGGGGATTATAAAAACCCAACCCTGAAAGAAAGTTTAATTTATTTAACACTCGCACTCCACTTTAACACTAATCCACACCCAATCATAAAAAAGTTTTATTAAGGAAGTTGAAATAACACGAAAGTTGTGTCTATAGGCTATTGCTATTTTGATACAGTCCAAATGATTTAAAACAGCTGATCAAAGATTAAAATCATTTAGTGATTGTTTCAACCAAATGTTACAAGCAGTAGTATTTAGATTTTTTTTTAATCATAAAAGATTGAAATCATTTAATTGTTGTGCTAGTCATATGCTGGAATTTTTGTATTCTAAATTCATATCTGATTTAAGGCGAGACGCAGACGATTGTCTTGACTCTGGCACCTACCTGGGCAGCAAATTATTCTAGAAACTTCTCAGCTTGACAATCACCGTCAGAAGTGACTTGGGTTTAATGTTGTTTACAGTCAGACGAACTTTGGAATTCGCACTTGTATATTCTGTTTCCTTGACAACGATTTATATTGTTTTTTCCCATTCTTTGCCCAGAATAAACAATTTTAAATCATTCAACTCCACGAAACAAACTTACTCTATTTCATTTATTAACCATTGACTTTTCCCCTGGCAAAATTTAAAAGAGAAAAAAAAAACATTTTAGAGAGTATACGTATATTTGCACGAACTGTTTGTAATACA